GGAAATTGATAAGATTATTTTGTAGGAAAAGTGCAAGAAATATTTGGTAGGAAATTAGAAGGAACACGTTTCCTACGACTTATTTGTAGGAAAATGGTCAAAAAATGCCCTTCTCCGTTCCTACGAATTAACCTACGAAATTTCCTATAACGAGTTTTAGTAGAAATTTGGTAGGAAATTTCCTACCAAAATCTTACCATTTATGATTTCCTACGGGCGATATCCTACCAATAATTTTGTAGGAAAATGGTAAGAAACGACTGTTTCCTACCAATTTTTGACGCAACTGACCGTAGGAAATTGATCATTTTCTTGTAGTGTTAGTTTAATTAATCACAAAATAAAATGTAAAGTATGATTGGTCAAAAAGTATTAAACACATTTAATTGTTACATAAAAAGTTGAAAACATCACTTAAAATGAAACAAATTTTTTGGACTAAAACATCCTTTAAAAAGAAATAGAGTATATTTATTTTCTTTTTTTTGGACACATCATATTTTCCTTTTTATCATGAATTTTCATTCTAGTTGTATAATATCAATTTTGGTTAGAAAATAAAATAAATTAATCCTATTTAAAATTTAAAATCTCAAAAATCAACTGTTCTACAGAAAAATATAATATAATTTTAAATTACGTAAGAGTATCAAAACTACAAATTTTATTATTAAAATGAAGAGAATATTTCTAATCAAAAAGTTTAAGTGTATAACAATGTCTTCAACAAAACCAGAATTGTAGTACGTTTGTCAACAAAACCAGAATTGTAGTACGTTTGTCACTTTGGTCATCAAGCTCAACTTGAAAATAATGTGGGGATATGAGGGGCCGCCCAATTATATATTTTCATATGATATATGATTTTACGTTAAGAGTCAAAATAGGAGAGCCACATAGAGTATCATCATGCATGCGCCAATAGTCTCATAAGACTTTGTTTCAAAGATTGATAGAATGATATGTTGACAATATAAGAAAAATTTAAGGATGCATGATGGTGGACCTTAGCTTAATTAATAGTCCCATAGAACAAAAGCAGTAGCAAATTTTTGGTGGGCAAAAATTAAACATAAGATGAAGATATGATGGAAAGAGGGGCCAACGAAGAGCGACAACAATGACATTCCCATTGACACTCTCATTAGAGAATGGTTCATGTGGTTCTCCCACTCATCTATTGCTAATTACATACTATGATTTTCTCTTTTTTTCTAGTACGTATACCTTATAGACAAATTATTGTATAGTAAGATAAGAAAATCCTATAATTTCGTACGAATAATTATTTGACTTCCAAGGACTAGAATATCTTCAGTTTATTGATGATGCATGATCAACTTCAATTCTCTCTAAGTTTATCCATTATCAAAAAGAAAAAAAAGTAGTAGTGCAAGTAAAAAAACATAAAGTTATTTGACTACTTTGATGAATAATTTATGTTAAATCTTAGCTTAAAGAGTATATTCGCTGAAGATTTCCTGTTTTAGTTAGGATCGGATCATTATTGTCTTTTTGATAAAGGTTTACGCTTTTTGTTTTTGGTAAATTAAATGGACACTTGTATATCGTTAACAATTCCTTACACAGTTGTAAGCATCGTTTCATTAAGTATGACGGTACCGACATAATTGATTATAAATTATATGAAGACGTACGTAAATTTAGTTAGTATATGCTAATTAATATGCACATGATCAAATCTTCACAGTTCTCCAGTTTATATCATCAAAATCGACTGATCGTTACATCATATATATTGTTACAAAGATTAATATATAACTTACACATTTAGTTTACGTACGTACGTACGTTGAGAAGGACTACATGAGCTCGATGATTGGTTGATCGATTTCAAGAACATATTATTTTTGATCGACACAGGTACGTACCCTCGGAAATTGGAATTTCGAAGAGACGAAACAACGTTTGAATTGGAATAATCTGTTATAGTGTATCGTTATTATCTTCCTCTCATTATTACCCAAAAAAAAGGTTTCCAATAATTGGGATTATAGTATTATACTATTTCATTGCACAGCTCTCTTTTCTCCAAACAGAATTCGTATTATATGCAGCAACAGATAATAATTTATTAACATAATAGTGTAGACGATTTTTTTTCCTATATATTGTCTCCTCTATCGTGAAGTGGGACTCATTTTCTCTATATTTTTCTAAAAAATAAATAAATATTATGTTTAGGCTATTAATATATGTTCAAACTTTGACAAAAAAATATATATATATATTTAAACTACGGTCGGTGTGGTTGCTACTTGCTAGCTAGGGGTTTTGTGCTTAATATAATTTAAATAGTATTGTTTTCTTTTGGTAAAGTAGAATAATAATACAGTTTCAATAAATTATTCTGTTGTTTAAAGTTTAAACAATTGTATCATCGGAACATGTGACAAAATAGTGTATACAATCAGTTTTATCGATACGAGTTCAAATCCGCATGTATAAAAAGAAAAAAAAATGTTAAAAAAATTATATAAAATGGTAGCGCATGCAGTCACATAAACTCAAAACCAATATTACTAAAACTTACAATTTTTTCAAATAAAACTTTGTGGAACAAAAAGTATTTTAGGAATTTTTATAAATTAATTAAAAATTTAATTCTACTCGTGTCTTAATTAAAAATAATAATTTCTGATGGCGTTTTTGTAGTTACTTAATAATTATATAATATGGAGACTAAATATAATGGACACACTCACAAACATGTTCTAAATGCTGTCATCTTAATTAAGAAATGCTTTATTTATATTTATATGAAAAAAACTTAAATGAAATGTTTTGCCAATCGCACCCATATTATGCGTCAGATTAAATTAAGCTATTTGTCTTGTGGTCCTTGTGGATACATAAACAATCTAGAAAAAAAAAAAAAAAACGAAGATTGTCCGAACAGCTT